CTTACGTGCTGGGGTATTTTTTTTATTTTTTGAAAAATTGGGATATTTTTCATATATGGCAAAAGTTGGGGCATTTTTTTATTCTACCTATAATCTATTGATCCTGTTTTTGCGTAAATTCAGCAAATTGAGAATAAATCTAAATCGACATTAATATGTAACTTATGCAAATGGATCAGAGCAAAATTATGATTGATATACATGAACAGTATGCAAAGTATACTGCAAAATCGTGCAGTCCGTGTTCCTCTGCAACTTAAATGTTGGTGTATATCATCAACGCTGTTATTCTACTACCATATAACTGGATGCGGGAAAATTCCAAAGACGGTAAAGTTTACAAGCTATGGTCAATTTCTTTGATGAATAAGAAAAGTTGATGTCAGAGAACAGACAACCAGACAATATGTGTATATCTGGGTTGGATTAGATGGTTGCTTGAGGAAAATGTGCAGTGGAGTTCTTTGATTATTACACTTTACTTCAATAGATAGTAAATTCCATACATATTTGATTGATTATTCATGTCTGATGGTGACAGAGTCATACGACCTTCTTTCAAGGCAAGGCTTCCCTTCTTGAAGCTCCAATATAATGCGATGCGACCTAAGTAGTGAGTGGTGCATGTCTTGAACTTGCCAGGATGCATGGCGTATAAAATAACACGACTTATTCTTCGGGATCCCATGTCAGTATTTTTATTTTCTATGATTGGAGAAGGAAGGTCATTGCTCTCAGTGCACTGATGTAAACTATTATCGGGCGCTTGATTACTGACTTTAACAGTGTAGTGCTGAAAGTCCAGGCTCAGGTACAAGAAGGCAGAATTCCATTACTGCCACGTAGAACCCGCTCAAAATGTGGGAGGAAATCAGCAAATTCATCGAACCGGCACAACTTGTGGTTCTTATGCCCTCTTTGCCAATGTTACTTTGATGCTCCCTTTCGAGAGCAGTTTTAACCGATATTGGTCGATGGAGCAAGTTGACACACCACACTTTCTGTACGCAAGAAGTTTAGTTTACGAATTCACTCGTTAAGGTCAGTCGGCGAAAGAATACAACATTACCTCTTTCTTGAAAATTTCTCGCAATTGTTCCCTTTCGAATTCCAAAGCCTGTAAAATATGATAATTTTAAAGCCTATGGAGCTGACAAGTCAAGTCTGAGCTGTATCAAGCATGCTAGCTAATAGCTTAAGAGCTGGAAAGCCTTCTTCGACATTTCATTCAATTGTACGAAATTTAAATTACACTTGCTGTAGCTGTGAGTATTATCCTTGTTCTGAAAACTACCGGGCTCCATAAGGAGTGTTCTGAGATACACGTGGGTTAGCAGTCTCGCATAAACAAGAAAAACAGTTTTTTTCAATAGTAGAGCATATATGTTGTATAAGTTTTGAGCAGAATTTATTCTGAATATATGCACTCATGTAGTGGCAGATAGAGTTGGCAACTCTAGAAACGCTCGGATCCGCTCCTGCGAGAAGCCCACAAATTCATTCTTGGTGCGTCTGTTGATGCGAATTACGAGAGTCAAAGCTTCTCCCACGCAAAGTGCACGGCAGCTCCGTTGCGCTTGGTAGCATACGTAGTCGATCTCACGATCGTGTTGTTAAAGAACTGTTTTATCTGGATGGAACTTTAAATTATTAAATACCGATCTTGACACGATAAAATAGCTTAACAAGCTTTTACTGTCGTGAGTCCCGATGGGTGGCGGCCAAAACGGCGGAAAATAATCACTCACCTGGAAGCGCTAAATAGCTTTGATAATGTGCTAATGAGACATGTCCAGAACTGTGCCAATCGGGCGCAGATGGAGGAGCAGATTGCTTTTGTCGAGAGACCGCTGATGATGAGCTTCAATGCCTCGCAATCAGCAATACCTGTCTGAATAAGTATAGCTGACATGATTTTGAGTTCGGCCTTTCACCAAACAAGGCAGCAGCGTGTTATGCTAGAAATATTCAAGCTAGGAGTGATAATGGGCATCTGCAATATCTCGCTGAGAAACTCGTTTTCAATATGGGACGATCGGAGGTGACAGGTGTCGTTGGTGCTCACACTGAAATTTTGGCTGCGTTCAGAAGTCTCGTTTGCTCGTCAAGAGACGCAAGTGCTAGCAGACTACGTCTGAAGATTAAGATATCTTATCGTCGCAATGACATCTGGTATTATCGGAGGCAATAGCGGTTATCATCTCCGAGGAAGGCGGCTCGCACCTAGATCTACCATATGAAATCCACGCTGTACCATTCATACTTAGTAATTAATAAAAGGCGCATCTAACGTGAAGCACAACTCTCGTGCCACGAGAGCGAGATGAAGTGCAGAAAGTGTAAGCTTTACGAATACGACAGAAACAATGGACTTCATATACAGAAGAAAGAGTGATTACAAAACTGCTAAGCAGTTTTGCGATATGTGCAGATGCTAGACAAAATTTACACCTTGCACGTCCTATTCTCTCCCGACTAAGCGGTAAGGTATAAAAAGGGTCGAGCTACCATGCAAGGGCGAACGACAAAACCCTTAGCACGAAAACGTCAAACCCCATTACGCACTGGGCGGGCTATCAAAAAACCCGGGTGGTTCCTGTATCATGAAAGTCACGATCATTGATATTCAGCCGTAGAAATCCGTCTTTTTAGAAAATTGTTCACAGATCAGGGTTGTTTACATTCGATATCATGCTTTGGGCCTTGTGAAACCGTGGAAAGTCCTGAAAATTCTGTAGCATCGTGCAGTCACTTGCAAAATGCGACTGTCAAGCAATTTGACAGTACTCAGAGGCATCTAAGATGTCGTCAATGATGGATACAATACCTGTACGTGTTGGGACGGGGACCGGTTAAAGTGTCATAAGTTACATAAAATGTTTGTTTTAAGCTTATACAATTTAGCAGGACTGAACGCTATCTACTCCTTGATATAGATTCGAGACATGATCTAATCCTATGTATGGCGTGGTTGGAACGTCACGAGCCATCGGATAATATACAGTAGAAAAGATAGTGTCACAAACTGATAGAGCATTGACGAGCTATATGTCCACATGTGCTGGGAAACACCAGTGCTTCTGGTGCAAACTTGAAGCAGCGATAGCTCCCGTGCAGGGCATAAGATTGTCGGAAATTGCAAGCTTTGGTATTGTTTAGTGCCTCGAGCAGAGAATGGCAGGAAGCTTCAATAAACCGAGGGATCAGCATGATATGAAAAGAGCAAATACATATAGCGGTCTCCAAGGTGTATCCACATTGAGATGAAGAAGGCCTACTGTACTTTTTTTCTAGCAATAGCCTCTGGCGCGACGGCATAGAGCATAGTGTATTGCCGTTTTGTGTACGAGGTTCGTTGGAGATCGGAAGCGACTGCGTGTCACAACCACTCGTGTCGGAGCTGGCATAGTTGATGGGCGACTAAAAAATTTAAACAAAAGGACTAAGATTTGGAGATTAAAAGAACTCCATTCATCTCACGCTACGAACTGCTGAGTCTTCACTACTGTGTGACGGTCCACCATGCGGATCAGTGCGGCCCCGAGGCTATGGGCGAAAAATGTTATTCACAACTGAATTTAGATATTGGAGTAGACCTGGGGTTTGTAGATCTCTCTTCACCACCTCTAGCAGGAAGTTTTATAGGTCTATAAAAATTATCATCGAATATATGCTAGGATTTGCAAGACGGTGACGCTACGCAAACTAATGGTAGGCATCGTAGAAGGTATGCTAATCATCCGCCTCGGATATTTCTATCGGTAAGTACCTTTGCAGAACGATTCGTGCGAAGAGTTGGGCCGCTATCTTAATTGTTCCTATAAACTCTTTCCATTCGTTTTTGAAGGAATATAACCACGTGGTGCCGATAGATCTACTACACTTGTTTATCCCTGGCATGAAATTAGCGTGGCCTCGTACGATATACATCACACGGCTATTGCGTCTATCAATGGATAGTGTGACGCCTTTGAAACTTTCTATCGATAGACGCAAGAGGCAGTCTAGAGTAAAATGAGTAAATATTTATACTTGACGTCTTTCTTTGTCAAAGAGGCTAGAGGTAAGTGGTGCATTGTGCATGCTCATAACATGTTAAATACAGCCACGACTGCAGCAGAGAAGTCAATGGTTTAAAAAATAGCTTCATAGTCGAATTCATTTTTTAGCGCCTTCGACGCGTAGTGTTGTTAGCGTTTTGACCTTGTTAATGCGATCTCCATCACACCACGCTGATTACTCCAAGCAGGCGCTCTGGAAGCGATCGGGTATGCCACAGGGACTCTCTGATGTACAAGCAATGTGTAATTTTTCGGTGCCACAAACATTCAGACCCCATCTTGGCTATTTACAGAATATATTTGTCATAGCCGTGCACAACAGAAAACATTGGATGGTGAATACTATGCTTAAACTTTGCGAGCGGAGCTCAAGAAAATGAGTATTTAATTTATCAATTTGCCAATATAACCTAGTGTGGATTTGGTTATGAAGTAATTCTTTCTGGGATTCTTTGTTGGGAAGCAGGACATGTGGGCAGACCCCGCAAAGATATAGATCATAGAAAATTAGCTAGTGCCTTTGTCCCAAAAGGAGTTAGAGAAAAGACCTGGTCCGACCAATTACTCGCTCGCATAAGTGCTGCGCCAGAAATGTCGGTATTGCACGTTTCCTCATCATTCTTTTAGTAGGCTTTGGAATGGTACTGGTGTGCGGTGGGTGCAACGGCATTTTGAGTTGAAAAAAGCGTCATAAGTACCTCATTCTGATTTCTGAATCCGGATCGACTATTTTGTATCAACTGCGGCGAAGCTGCCGTAGCTTTTTTGCTTATAGGAAGATTACTAAGATCACCAACCTGATGTTGTATGCTAGAACCAGTGCGAGTGTAGCGGACCGAAATCCGTTACCTCCAAGAGTACCCAAAACCTTAACACAAGGCAAATGTACTCTTCCGTTTGGCATTGAAACTATATTATCTGTTTTATTTGAGGCAGAGCCACCTATAGCTAAAACGTAGGGCTTTCTCATTAAATATAAAACCTAATTAATATGGATAAATACTGGCAGTCCAGTGTAGTCACACCATTGTGTGATTACACTGACTTGTGTAATCCTCACCTTTGTACGGCCACACGATCTTGTGTGACTCACCCGTGTAGACCTGGGTACGCGAAATTTCATTACAATAACTCTGACGCTTCAACCATCGCAGAAGAATGTGCTCATACGCAAGCAGACTAAATGAGCACGAACGCATAATCGCATTCAAGCACTACAAGCTTCAAAGAGCGATAAATTTTGCTTCAAAGGTCTAAATGCTATTAGGTCACTTGAGGAGATATTTGCTATACTGCATTATCATGTCAGGGATACTGTGCACCTGCTTGATTTCAAGCCATTTGCAATATCTATCGTTTGCACGTCGTTGCGCTCAGCGACATCGTCGCCACATTTTTTGGCGAGATTGACAAGAAAGCTATCCTTCTCTGAAAATTTGTGCCCTTAAGGCGAGGAACAAACCGGGTCAGCTAAATTTGCACTTTCGCGTCACCCCGTGTTACGATATGGGGTGATGTCTCGAATTGATGAAGTGATACGTGTACGAGGCGCATGGTAATCGATGCGTGGCATCTTGATAGAGATTAGACAAATTTTTGTACAAGTGCATGTATTGGTGGCCCTGTACGTTATAGTGGCTAAGAATATGTACTCATGAAATGTGTGAATGTACATCGTGTCTCTCTGGTCAGTCTGCCGGTTCCTCAAGAATTTTGCGATCCATGAAAGTTCAATTATTCCGGCCTACCAAAATGCGCAATCGGTAATGCTGGTCTTGTGGGCTTTGTGAAATGTCTCTGCAAGATGACTCATCGTAAGATTCTTATTAGCGCTTGATTTAAGAAAGAGGCGACTGTGTTTTGAAGTTGCTGTAGAGCAAGTAGAGCGAATTCAGACATGTTCAGTCTGTTTAGCAACGAATTAGAAATCGTCGTGAGTTTGACGACATAGGTTTTAGCCGGTCAAATAGTACACGGAGTCCAAGACTCGTTAAGCGAGAAGGCTAGGATCAGCAAGGGCCTTCGCTGTGCGGAGGGATCAGGCCGTGTATCGCCGCCAGGATGAGGGTGAAAATGTTTTATTGGGACTCAGACTGTAACGGGGTTATTTGTACCTTTCTACGAACGGGCGGATCGCAGAAGATTGTGCGACCGTACACAGGTTTGTAGTACACAGTAATATCAACACCATAACAAGAAGCCACCACATGGCAGGATTGCCAGAATTAATGCAAATTGCTATATTAATTAGGTTTTGCTATATCAATTTAGAGAGCATAGGGTTTTGGAAATTGGCGGCTCTGCCGCAACTTAAATAATAAGAACAATTTCGTTTTTGAACAGAAGTTTTTTTTGCCTTGGTGAGGCTTAAGTGCTTAGAAGTAGCGGATTGCGATCCGCTATCCTTGTACTTGTTCTTTGAAAGAACGTCAGGTCGGTGACCTTAGCTTGGCTTCCTCTAAGCAAGGAGCTACGGCAGCCGCGCTGCACAGAAGCTATTTGAACTAATGATAGGATACCTTGGCACCCTCTGCAAGAATTTCTTTTAGCGCGTCGATCGCGTAGACTATACATTCAAAGGGACCCGCCAACCCTTTTGATGCAACGGAGCGGACTCTGAGTTCGAGTACACTCAGAAGAGTACATAAAGTGAATAGAACTTAAGGCGGATAAGCTGTTTCTGAAGGGGGCACTTTTGGGCAGTGTTCTAAAAAGACAAGAAATGTGAGCTCAGTGTGACTCGGATCGTAGCGGGGGGTGATGGGGCCAGTACTTATTCCTTCCAGGACGTGAATTAAGCAGGATGGCTCGCTTTTGTCACAATATCTCAGTACGGCTGATCAAGCACTACCATGTGACAGATTCGTCGTTAGCAGCACTAAAATCTACGGGTGATTTATCAACTCGTGAATGGAGTGGCTGGGATAGTCCTAGAGGCTGAAAGCCTCTCATCGTATTCCGCCCCAGAAACAAATTATCGATGAAATAAAGATATTACACTGTACGTCGACGAAAATGGTGCGAGAAGCGTGTGTTGTGCGCGAGCTTAACGCAAAATGACGGCAAGATTATGAGTAATAAGATAAATTACTGTCATGTGGTAGAAATTTCGCTTTTGTGGAGGTCTCGAGCCACCAGATTGGGTACTGGCAGAGCTACCGCTACTGTCGGGAGAGCAAAGCAAAGTGGTACGACAAGTATTCTGCTTGCTTGGATTGGGGTCTCCACAGGATACCTTTGGTGAGATGGTACAGGCGACTGGTGTTGTCCAAGGGGGGTTTTTATTTACTTGCTTTTTATAATGACCCCGTACAATCAGCAATATCTTTCTCAATGCAATAAAATAGCATAGCTGGTTCAACAGGGACTATTTGTGTAGACAACGGCAAGTCGTCACTAACTCCTGTCACGACAGATACGCCGGTATCCGCGACAAACAGTCTTTAGCTCCTGCATAGCGTATACGCTGTTGGCTGCGACCGACAGCCGTTTATGCCTTCCGAGCTAAGCTTGAGGCTCTACAAATATTGCAACTAATAAATTATCGCCCTGATTCAAGGCTGTCACAGCGTTGTGTTTGCGCAGAAAATGCTTTTCCGGGGCTTACGGCCCGTCGCAGCTCTATTAGATGGGAAGCAAGAATTTTATGAAAAACCGCAATATGATAAAGAGTTATGAATCCTTGAACGGAAGTGTTTATTTGCCTTGGGTTAAGTTGTGGTAATTCTTGGAGTAAGGGATTGTGATCCGCCACACATGTACTGGTTCTAATTATAGAACGAAGGTCACCAGCCTTAGCTTAGCTTCCTCGAAGT